CTAGTCCAGGGGTCATGGATATTTCTTACATATTACCCCCCCCCCTTTTTTTACACACACACACACCAATCCCATGATATGATTTGAAAGAGAGAAAATCAAAGATAATTTAAATTCACAATGATTAATGCTTCTATATGTATGGAGAAAACACTTACACATTTTCAAAGTATACAGCAAAATGCGATAAAATATTTGTAATAAAGTCATCATTATCAAAACAAAGGATTTTTTGGAATACAGGGTAGGGTTAACTTCAAATTTATGAGAAATTGTGTTATATGTGTTATATTTTTTATATAACACCAAAATTGGGACAGCAATGTCTTCAGAGTTTAAATAATTGATTACTCTGATTTATTTTTATATTCCTTAGTCTCAAAATTAATTTTTCCTAAAGATAGGTTGTTGCAAAAGGTAGCAATTATTGATGGGCTCCTCATGTGCAATTTTGAAAGCCCATGTAGCTCTTCATGTTTTGAGCATAGGCAGTGGCATTAATACTTGTCAAAAGAGTTTGTGAGGTGTGCAGACCATACAAGATGACACCCTCATTGGAGGTATACAACAAATAGAAAATAGTGAAGGGACTTTTGGAAACTTAAAATAATTTAGGCAGGAAATAGAAGTTAGGCAATTAGAGATAATCCTTAGACTATGAGTTGGAACGATCATTCTCTTTGAGTGCAGACAATTAAACAGCAACTTGGATTAATGTCCATATATGATAAGTAAGAGCAATAAACACAGTTGTTGCTGGTATTTACAAAACATTGCATCAGGCTAGGTGTTCATCTCAACAATTATTGAGCTCTCAGTTCAATTAGTTCAAAGTCAAAGTGTAAGGCGTTATGCACCCTATCTTTTCGGTAAATGAACAAACGTTCATCTTAAAATTCATCATTTGGTCAAGGGCCAATCTGGCTGCTTCAACAGAGGGAGGATTCGCAAATATTAAAACCTGCATTGCAATGACCTGATTAAGCAAGCCAGTATTATTAAACTACAACATTCATTATGGGTGTATTTCTCTGGTTAGTAGGCCTACTATTCAAATTACATTGACCAAATGCAGTGTTGCCAGATACAAAAATTATGTCCTAAAAAAGGAATGCACTTTTTATATGATAATGATTGTATTATTTTGTATCTGATTTCTATTGACTTATGAGGCCTCTTTGCCCTCAAAATTTTCCTTTAAGCCCAATTCGGTTGGGGTAATTTACCCTGGTTCACTGACAACTCACACTGCCCTGTCATATTTTTAGTTTAGTTTATTTATTAATAAACTTTAACTTAAATCTTTAAATTTACGCTAACAAGCCTAAGTAAGCCACATTTATTGTCAGACATCGTTTTTAACGTACTAATTTTTAAAAAATAATATTTAGTTTTTATTAACTACGTAGCCGTAGCAATGCCATAGCTGGCATGGCACTTACTTAACTCTTCGTGTACACTTGGCAATAAAATAATGGATAGATAAAAGTAGAAAAATCACCTTGTTTATTTACGTTCTTTAACGATCAAGGGAGACCACCACAAAAATACCGATGCTTACCATTTTTAGTTGAAGTTTACAAAATGGAAAATAAAATTTATACCGAAACGATGATTTATAATAGCCTTGACAACCCGGTTAGATGCCGTGCACCAAAAAAGGGGGTGGGGGTGATGGCTGGTAGGGTGCGTATGGTGTGCGTGTGGTTGGGGGGGGGGGGGGAGGGGAGAGTGGTCTTGGTACATTGGTAAACATTGCCACTTAAATAATCCTGAAATCCTGTCAGTCTTTAAACTATATTAATTTTTTTAAAAAGCTAACTGTCTGTCACCTAAAAAAATTAAAATTCGTGATTTCTCATAAAAAATATACTTTTAAATTAAAAGGCTATAAAAATATCACAATTTGTCGGGATTTTCTTTCTAATGTGTAATGTTGCTCTGTGATTTCAAAAATAACTCGCTAGATAACAATAATGACAATGAGTTGATTTAAATGTTTATTTGTATTTGAAAATACTATAAATTTTGTTGAGGATAAATTAAATATAATAATTTAAATAATTGATGAAACGTGCACTTTTGACACGTTTGTATGCGGCCGTTAAATCTTAAAGAATGAAATAGTGAAACGAGGTATGTGGAAGCTTGAAAAAAGGTAAATCGGAGCAAAATGTGTACAACAATATAAAGATTATATATTTTTTTTTATAAACAACTAAATTGTCTTTTTAAAACACTTTTAAAAAGATTTGTATATGGAATGTTGAATGGTTAGATGAGGATTATGTTGACTTGTCTGGTATAGGCCCTATCAGTTTCGTTAAATCTTAATTTTTAAAAAATCTACTTTTTAAACTTTCTATTTTATATAAATAAACACACATGAAATCAATTAAATTTATTTATATTTAATTGACTAATACCATCATCAAATTTATAATTAACACTTTACTCAACTTTAAAAGTCATGCTTTTATGATAAAATATAATTTAAAAAAAAAAATAGATTTCGAATGTTTGATACTTAGCAAGAACTATTATTAAAATTGTAGACCTTTATAATGGTGTAAAGGTAATTAAATACAGTGTTATTTAATTTTTTTAACTTGTCAAGTTGAAAAAAAAATGAATAAAAATATCGATATATTATGTGAACTACAGGAAGACGTTGGCTTATAATCCGGAGCGGCCAGTGCGATATTTATAATCGAAACTATAACTATATGCCTTTAACAAGATTAGCCTTAAATAATAGACAATTATCAAATATATCGAGAGTAGCCCCCCCCCCCCCCCNATTGTCTTTTTAAAACACTTTTAAAAAGATTTGTATATGGAATGTTGAATGGTTAGATGAGGATTATGTTGACTTGTCTGGTATAGGCCCTATCAGTTTCGCAATATGAAAATTATAAATCAGCTAATATGCCCATTGTTACGATAGAGCAACACCTGGCTTCTCCCTGGGAAGATGACAGCAGCTAGAAACTATGCTACAATTTGTCAGCTGTACTGACAATAGTCATATTTATACTTCCAAAAACGATATTTAGTCATTAACAACCTTTAATTGATTCTGCTTGATAAAATTTAAGTATAAAAACTTTTTAACTTGTTGACAAGCTAAAAATGTAAAAAAAATGTTTTCCCTTCAATCTTGTGTTATTAAAATAGATCAGCACAAAGTAAAATGTATTAATACATATATGTATATTCATTTTTTGGGGGGGGGGGGGGGGGGTATAAAAATGTTGACATAATTACTGAGGGGGGATCATTGAAAGTTTTACCTTTCTTGACAGGGGAGGGAGTAAAAAATTGCTTAAAAATTGTTGACGCATTTAATGGACGCCCTCATATAAATTATAGATACTTTTAATTTTCGAATATTAATATTACTAAATATGAGTTTAAATTATTTCATTATCTTGTTTTACCATTGATATTGACTTATATTATTTTATATAACTTATATAAATTTAATAATTTTTTAATTTGGCAGACAGGACAAGGGTGACTGCTTACAATACCATCCTTGAAATATGCATGCTATCCATTTGTTTTTGCCATGGAACAATTGTTAATGATTAGTTCCTGTATCAGGATTACATCTATAGATGTACTATCGTTTCCATCTTGTAAATGCTATGTTAAACACCTCTTGTATAAAAATATTACTTGTGTGTTAGTATCTTGAATAAGCCATGGGGCCAAAATGATCATCCCTTTCTTTTGTTTTCAATAAAGACCTATCCTACTTATACAGGTAATACTTTTTGTCGTGCTATTTAAGTCAGTTTCAAACTAATCAATCCATAGTTATATTATCTGGTTTTGTTGATTTAAAAAAATGGAATTTAAGCCATATCAATGGGGAGCTTGTGTATTTTTAAATAAACAAACCATGGAAAAAATGTGAATTGTGTATTCATTACTTTTTTCTTCTTAATAAGAGGTCAGGTATGTTATTGATACATCAGTCATTTCCAGTTTTCAACCAGTATATTTCAAGATTTTATTAACGGTTATCATCAATACATGAACAAAGTATAGCGAGTTCAATAGCGCAAAAAATAAATGCTAAATAACTGCGCTAAATGAGTTTCTAAAAAATAAAGCAAGTGTAATTGGTGTGTCCTAATTTCTTTTGGTTTATGGAAATAGTCCCCAATTTAAATATGGTGTAATAAATCTGCAGAGTAAAAAGGGGTGGGAAATTTGAATATTAATATATTCAGGGGTGTAAAAAAGTGTGGCGGCATTATGGGGTGGGGGGGCACTATTTGGGCTTCTTATAATGTAATTTTCTTGAATGCATATTTTTTCAATTAACTTTAGTAGAAAAGTAGTTCATGCATTGCTGCCACCATTGTTTGGTGGGCTATAACTAGACTATAACTAGTAAAGAAATAAAATTGATACATTTAAAAATATTTTTAAAGCAGTTTACATACAAATGTAAGATGATGCCTAAATACAATCTAATTTAAGAAAAATAATTTCCTAAGAACTTACTCTTTACCATTTTTAAAACCAGCTTTAAAAAAAATATTAATTGATATTACCTGTACATAATTTAAGTGTGGCATTAGTTATACAATTGTGAGAACCTCTTGGCGAGATCAAGGTTAGCTTTTTTAACAAAATTAAATAAGATGAATTAAGCATATAATTAGACTAGAAATTTTATTTACTTTTATACTATAGTTATTTATTAAGACTAAATCATTTTGTAATATAGGTATTGTTTTTTTAGAAGACTTTTTAATTTCATATCTCACAATTGAAAAATCGTATAGTAATTTTATGAACAGAAGAATTTAGCCCCAAGTGGAGAAAGCACATTTTCTTAAAAACTTTAAAATACAGGTAAACTTACCTGTAACATTTATAAACAAATATATCTTAAAAGTTCACATTTTAAAAAAGTTGTTTTTATAATTTAAAAAAAAAGAGAGAAATTTCATTTCGAATTAATTAAATATTATTATTGATTACTGGATAGTAAATTAGCTTGTTTATTCTAACAAGAAGTGTTGAACTTGACACGGTGAAAAGTAACAGGACGATCAATTCAACACATTCATATCATTTCAACATCAAAATTGTTTTTCTATTAAATCAAACAAAACTTAAGTAATAAATTATAGCAGGTTGGGTACGTGATTTTAATAAATAGCTAAAACAGAAAAGCAGTTGGGACAAACATGTTTACCCTTGTAGAATAACATCATGTGATCAAATAAAACAGGTTTTCTTTTAAAACGTTAATGTTCTATCGTAATTGTAATAATATAATCTCTATTTCAGTGGTGAATATTTAATTTCTTTCTTGAGAAAATTACAAAAAAAGTTCCATGAAACTTATTTATTAAAGATACTAATAAATATATAGCTTCATTTTAGTTCCTGGAAAAAAAAATCTGAAACATATTTTTAATAATAATAAATAAATAACTCATAGCTTCTTTTTTATGGAAACATTTTTTAAAGTGTAGTTCTCTTACATTTCTTTTATAATTTATATGCACATTTATAGACTGCTGCATCAAAACATTCCAGACCCTTACAACAAGTCTGTGGCATTAGTATTATACAATTATTTTAGGCAATATTGTAATTTATTAGAGCCAAATCAACCCTTGTGACTGAAATCAAATTATCCAGTGTCAATAACTATATTTTATTATATATTTTGTATAGTAAACATCATAATTTGTTGAAAATGTTGCTAGCTCACATGAAATACAGTTAAATACTATTTTATTTTCATGATTTTAAACCAAAAAAAAAAAATACAGCTATGGCTAATTTAATAACAAAAAGAAAAAAAATATATCTATGTTATTATCAATCACATACAAAAATCTGTCTAAACTTGAAGCTAGTTAAGGTCTCAATTTATATTCCTTCTTAGACAGTGATATCATTATGTTAATACTCTAAAACAGTATTATCCATTCTTCAGTGTACATACAGTATTTTAATTTTTTTAATAAAGAAAATCAATCATAGAATGGTCCTGTTTACATATATATTGCAATGACTACTATACTATATTCAAATTATGCTAATTACTTACGAACAGTATACAGTATATATACAGTTATATATTTAATCAGATCATCATGTTAAGTTTAAGGAAAGCCTGGATGATTTTTCAAAAGGTTTTCAGGCTACAAGCTATGCTGCTGTGGGCCGTCAGTTGGACAGCCCTGAACAGATAGTAAAATGACAATCACATGCAGTGTGGAGGTGAAGTGTCCATAGTTGACTGGTGTAGTCTTAGTATGTGCATTCAGCTGGGTTGAGTGATATTAAAGCCAATAAAACCTGTATTTATCAATCATCTGTTTCACAGTTTAAATTTCATTTGAAACATATTTGTATAATTTTTCTTTCATAGTTCAAAACAACCACTTAGTTCTGGACCAGTATACAAGAAATAGTTATATTTTGATTTTTTTTGTTGTTTATACTTAAGGACTTGGCAACATCAATGATTTTTAATTTTAGAAATAAAACCTTCAATTATGCTATTGAAATGTTTGCTAATTTTCTTTCCATAATCAATTCAATATTCAAATTTGTAAAATCTTTAAGTCCAAATATACCTTAACCACTTAATCAGACCACCATTATAAATTTACCGTGCATAATTATATAATCAATATACTGCCTGGTTTGTTTTCTCAAGCATTTAACATTCAAACAACAAAACATAGTTTATGAAATTGACAATAATTTATTTTCTAAAACAAAAAGATGCAATGATATTTTGACATAAAAATATGGGCAAGGAAGAAAATATACTTCAGGAATCTTGATAAGTGGGCCAAGAGAATCTGATCTTAGTATTTACAATTCACCTCTTGTGTAACATATTTTTAAAGCATCCACACTTTTCTCATGCATCCTCATATTAAATACAAACTACGTTGTACATGAATATATGAACCACATATTTATAAGTCAAGCATGCAGAAATCTACAAGAAAATCTTGGCAAGATCAAACTTAGAGCTAAGGAGGGAGTACAAATCAAGGGGAGTAAAGCTGTAAACAAACAATTGCACTTGACAGGGTTATTAGCTCATTCAGAGGAGATGCTAGAGGAGATGCAAGAGGAGATGTAAGCATCTCTGGTACACAAAATCTTATGTGGTAAATTAAACTCTGATACCAGTGATAAAATGTCATGTTCAGTTATACTTCACAGCAGCTGTCATTAAAACAGAAAAATAAACTTGGGGTAAATTATGAACAAAACCTCTTAACTTTGGTACATTATCAACAAAACTTCTGAACTTTGGTAGATACAAACAAAACTTCTGAACTTTGGCAGATTATAAAACAAAACTTCTTAACTTGGAAGAACAAATAATCCTTTAACTTCAAAAGACAAGATAAATTGCTGAACTATTAGAAGACCTACTATACAGATTTCAAAGTTCATGAAAATATGATTCCTCCTGTCCTGCCTTAATTTATAAACGGATCAATAATATGTGACTATGATTCAAGCATTACATACACACCCAAGATTGAGTAATAATGGTGGTAGTGCTAGATCACTTGTAATGCACAATAAATATAAACTGAACATTAATTAATTCTAACCCCCATTTTTTTTTTAAATTCAAGTTGGTGTCTATTCTGGGTCATTTTATAGAAATGAACAATTAATTGCTTTGGCCATGCCACTGTGATTATGGCAATACAAGAAAACAGGATTGGATCACAATGATAACTAAACCCGAATCAAGAAACTTCTTCAGTAAAACAGAGTACACAGCTAGAATTTCTTGCAAGCATCAAAGACACAAAAACAACACTAAAGTTATAAACAACACAACATGCCGTAGTGATAAAGTACAGTGCCTAATAAAAGAGGGAGCTCTGTATTCTCAACTTGTCCAAATCAGACATAACAATTTCGCACGCATTTATTTTAAAATTCACTTATCACATCAAGTGGGAAAAAAAAAAGTTACTTTTGTACACAAAAAAAAAATAATTTGACCAGATTGGTTGCGTTGAAACAAAGTTGTACAAAAAAAATGCTATTATTATAACCATTGTTTAGTTGTTTTTTTTAAAAAGACTCCAGCACCCTGGTTCTACACAACATTCACCTTCTTGAAAATTCCTGCACGTTAGTTATATGTTGGTGCAGAATTTTGTTTTTAAAAATAACAAACACCTTTAACCCACCACCATGTTAATTTGGTAAGGAATTATAATTTTTTACTTTTGTGTCTAAAGTAAACAATGCCTTGAGTGGTAATATCTACTTTCTTTCTTATTATACTTGACCTAATTTTGTTTGATTATCAAATTTTGACCGATAAACTGAAACTATTCAAATACTTGTATAACAAAAAATTGTTGACACAGCAGCATTTACTTTTTCATTTTAAGGAAAAACTTTGTGTTGGAATACACTGTAGGATCTTTTAGCAACAAATGTACATTTAGTATGTACACACAATTGTATACCATTGTGGAAATTTGTGTAGCAGACCTTCTGAACTCAACTCTGACATATTTAATGAGTCTCATGTTTGCATGCATCACCATCTCTCTTTCATAATACAAGAATATACGTTTTGAAGCATCATTAAAAAAGAATTATTTTTATTATTTAAAAGTATATGTATACAGATAAGTTTGGTTAACCAGACCTAGCTCATTTCTACAGACTCATAGAAATATCATTTCTTTTATTTGATACAATGTATTGACTTCTCTATTCTGACAATCCAACAGATCTGTCATCTAAGCAAAGGCCGGTTGGTTGTTTATGAATGACTTATGATTTAAAATTGAGTTTAATAATTCCTAGCTCTAACTACCATTTCTTTTTATGCTCATCCATGCTTACACCACCAGGGCCGAAAGCTACCACAAGTAGAAGACCACCAATGACAGACATTGTCTGGAAGAAATCATACTTCAGGAAGTCACGCATGGGCCTGTAGTCTGGAATGTTCCACCAGGCGTTGAAGTAAACATTGAGGCCAGTGAGCCACAGGACCAAGACCAGGGCAGAGAGTTTCGTCTTGAAACCAATAGCGATACAGATGATCAGTGTGGTGCCTATCAAATTCTGAATGATCTGGTGGATACAAAGATAATTTTTGCAAACTATGAATTATTTGGATGAATACAAAGAACATTATGAGCCAAAAATAAAATTTTATGATAGGGAACAAAAGATTATAATAAGAAGCATTAACTTCATCATGCCGGCTGCCCAACTTAATTATTTAATCCTGAGAGGACAAATAGAATAGAATGGATGTTTTACCTCCAATCAATATGTACTTACTTTCCTCTCCCTTTTTGTTCTCTAATTCCATACCTATGCTTTTAAGTTAATTACCAGTTTGCAGGTTCCCCTCTAACACAGCTTCCAGCTCTTTAAGGTAAGTTCTTTTAATATGAAATTCTATTAAGATCGCAGAGGAAGAATTTTGTTTAAACATTTGTCCTTTTTATTAAACATGATCATAGTGTGCCACATTTACTCCTTTAACCCAGGAAGGAGAAATCAGGATAACCTTAAAACAAACTTTCCTTTGCATTTGAACAAGTTTAAAATGAAATCAAGGAAACTATAGCTAAGTCTGGTTTTCTTTCGCTAGCTTACTTGGGCAATCTAAATTTTAATTAATATTTAGATGGTGGCGACAAAATTTAAAAACAACATCACAATTCCTACCTGCATGACAGACATTTCAAATCGTAGAAGGGTGAGAAACATTAGGACCAAGAGAATCCTTCCGCTGAGCTGCATGTACTGTTTGGGATTGTTCTCACCCAAAGATGGGAGGCCTGCAAACAGAGACTTTCCTTCTGCTTTGTTCTCTGCCAACAATAGCAACACACCACCTGCAAGTGCCAGATTTCTGTAATAGGAACAATTTTGAAAATGTTGAGGAAAGCATCGATTTAAAATAAATTAATGCAATAGCAAAGGGAAGGTTGTTTAGGAAATTTTAGGCAGCTACTATTTTTAGTTCGAAACTAGGACTTTATTTTAAGGACAATATGAATAAAAATGATCAAATCAGCCTATCCCGTTTCAAAAAGTTATTCATAAGATAATTCATATGTTTGTTGTAAAATATTTTTAAAGATTAAAAAAGTACCTCATTAAAAATTTAAGATCCCAGATGATACTGTAGGCAATAGTCTGTTGAATAAAAAAAAACAAAAAACAACACCATATAAGGCAAGTTTGACATTTTTTACCATGGAAAAAATGTTGGGTAGAACAGGACATGAAGAAAATGACTGATAGAATCAGATTAGTACTTAAAATACAATTCCAATCTTAATCTTTCAACACACAAGGGGCCATCCATAAGTATGTACGCAATGAGGGAGAAGGGAATATTTAGTTTTGCTAAACCAGTGGTACCTACAAATTTTTTTTTTGGCAGCACCATTGCCAAATTTAGTTTTTCACCAGGCACCTTATAATATCAAGAAATCTTGGAACAAATACATTCCAAAATAGTGATTGTATTATTTTCAATTAAAGAGTTGGGTAAAGTAACTAAAACATGTGTGTACCGGTAAGTCACTAAACACCATCTAGTAAATGCAAATAGTAATTACTCATGTGAGTTGCTATTCCCCAAGCCTACTAAATGTAACATTGGATTATGAAAGTGGAAATAAAATTATCAAAATATTATACTTTGCTGCACACATTTTGGGAAACACTGGGCTCTAGCCAGACAGTAGAGAACCCTGTGTAATCAGTGTCTGCCTTAAATTAACTCACTTGTCGTTAAAATTTTATGCTATATGGTATAATTATAATGGCTACAATTTGATGAAATATTATGCTTTGATCTTTGAAAAAGAAAATGTCTACAACAAAATTTATTCCAATTAATTTAATTTACCTAAGTAACGAGAAAACATCAGAATTACCTGTAAACCAATAATACCAAATAGAATTCCACAAGCAATAGGTACTTTTTGTCGACTGAGCACCATGACGCATCCAACTAATTGGCCTAGCAAATTGGTAATAACAAACATGGTGGCCAGGAAGGCCCCACATGACCAAGAGACATTCATATAATCTCTTTGTTCATTCCACTGTGTCCACATTCTAATTCCATCTTCAAGAAATGTGCTTATCAGACAGAATCTAGCTAAATGGGGAAGGACATGCTTGGAATATCGTAATACCTGGAAAAAAGAAGGAAAAATAATTATTAATTTTAAAATATTTCCTTTAAAACATGCTAATGTAAGTTTATTAATACAATATTATAACAAAGAAATAGGCACTCCTCTGTATACCAGTTCCAAGTATCAATGTTTCTTAGAAAGTGCCAGGCTACCAGCCTAATAACAGCCCAAAATTGATAACATAATAGATTATGTCTACGATTCTGAACAGAGTTGTCTTTGCTTGCAATAATATTAAAAAATCAAAACCATAGCCAGTAGACCGCAATTGCCAGTTATAATGCAAAAAATGATTTTCCAGGAAACATTCTGCAAACTTACAACACAACGCTGAAGGCACTGAATGACAACATGCTTTGGTTAGTACGATTTGTTGAATACTATCTAATATGAAAGAGCAATAACTGTCCATGTCCCATGTATTTAGTCCAACATGCTTGGTTTGTTGGAATTGTTGAAAAAATACCGGCTTAAAACTTAGAAGCACATGGGGGAGAAAAGTTCTCAGGAAAATATATTAACCAAAAAAAAAAAAAAGATGATAATGGATGGAGCATACAAACCAACAAGGAATTCTATAGACTATATCAGGATTCAACGTTGGTAGCAGAAATAAAAAAGTACAGGCTACGTTGGGGTGGGACACTTATAAAGAATTCCAAATGATAGAGGAATGAAGAGGGTGCTCTACAAAAATCTCAGAGGAAAATGGATCAAAGACAGGCGTCTGCTTAAATGGATGGATCATTTGGAAAAAGATCTACAGCAGCTGGGAATCCAAGCATGAAAAAAGAACAGTATCAGTTAATCTCTGCTGCTGGAAAAGGTTCCTTTCCTCTCTAGATAGCAATATCGACACAGACTTTCTTGGAATTATTTTAATTTTCAAATGGATTTAAAATGCAAGCACTGACTTCACAGATGTTTAATTTGCTAGTAATGACAATATTAGCTCTAGCGACATAAGAATCAGATACTGAAAATTTTAGCCCTAAGCCTAGTTGTATCGTTACAGAAAAATTTGTTCGGGAAAGGGTAGAAATCAAACAGAAAAGGACTAGATCCCAAAGACATTTATGTTTGTGTATGTTCCTGAGTATTAATTAATAAATATGGATTTAATAAATTCATTTGAAAAGGAATTTTTGAACTCATTTCGTGCCTTCCCCCTCATATTTTGATTGATAGAAATTTGAAAGTAGTGAATTCATCAATATTACAATTTTCAATATATGTATCTATAACTTGACATTTTCTGAAAGAATATTGCTTCTAGTATCTCAAAAACTTGATTTTATAATAGTTTGAACAATTTATGGAGTATAAGTTTGGATTGAATTCAGAAGTTGAGTACTGGTTACTAAAATTGCACTCACTCTGTATAGGTCAAGATCAACATACATAATATAAAAACACTTTTTTTTCATACCATAAGATACCTTTTCCAATGTACTTTCAGAAAATGTATAATTGTAAGGGTCTCTGAATTCATTTAGTCTGGGATTTTGTCACTTTTGACAAGAATATGAACATGGCTTCCATTTCAATTACTGAAAAATGTTCTTTACAGTTATAAGTTATAGGGTTACAGCTGTGGAGCTAGGTATTTTAAAAAACGCATGCGCATCCCTTCTGCGCAGTCGAAAAATCACTGTAAAACTTTTGTAGCCATTTCACAATCGGCTCTGTGGTGTACTCTGATTTTTGCGTTCTTCGTCACAGTTTTCTAATTATACATTTGTTTTGTTATCGATTACATTAAATATTTGTCTTATGGTGACGCTCATACAATTTACCCAATGAGGGGAACCCCCGCTTTCTTTCTGTGTCACTTTTTGACTATCGGTAAGTTGAAAGTGTCTTAAAAACTTCTTTGGAGCATTCATACATGATTAAAACCCAAAAGCTCATGTTTATCATCTAATTTGGATTACTAATAACTTTAAAATAGTCAATTTAACCCATTCCAAAGAATGTTATCGCTCTCCACATTACATCAACACCTCATCACCGGAAAGCCAAAAAAATGTTTGATTTTGTTTGTCTTCACCGGGGCGATAGAAGCGGAGAAGCGGCTCTAAATAACATTCAATAATAGTTTAATACTTTTGTAATCTTTTAACATCTGAGTAAATCTAAGCAAATTAGTAAAAGTTAGTTTTAAAAATCATAGAAATGGATAAGATGATACAAATAAATTGAAATTATGAATATTAAATTGATGGGAAATTGCTATTTAATTAAAATAATAAAAATCCGAGAATACCAGCACCAGTATTATTAGCAGTTAATCCATTCCTGTGGCGCTACAGCCCATGTAGGGCTTTGGCCTGCCTCACTACTTCCTTCCACTCAGACCTAACTAATGACTTTCTTTTTCATGCTTGGACTTTCAGCTGCTGTAGATTTTTTTCTACATCATCTATCCACCTAAGCCTAGGTCTGCCTTTGAGCCTTTTTCCTCTGGGGTATTGGTGATGTACCTTCTTCGTTCCTGTCATTTGGCATTCTCTCTAGGTGTCCTGCCCAGCGTAGCCTGCCTCTTTTTATTTCTGCCACTATCGTAGGATCCTGATATAGACTGTATAATTCCTGGTTGGTTCGCATGTTCCATCCATATTCATCGTTTGTTGGCCCATATATTTTCCTGAGAACTTTCCTCTCCCATGTGTTTAATAGGTTTTCTGCTGTTTTTGTTAGGGTCCAAGTTTCACTTGCATATGTTACAACTGGTCTGATCACAGTTTTATAAATAGTTTTCTTTGTTTCTCTTGTAATGTTTTTACTTTTGAGTATTTTCTGACTACTGAAGTATGCCCTGTTTCCGGCTGATATTCTTTCTTTTATTTCTGTTAGTAATTCGTTTCTTTCATTTAACAAGGATCCTAGGTATTTGAATTTAGGTATTTGAATTGATTTACTTTTTCAAAAGTTTGGTTTCTAATTTTAATTGTTTCATCTGTTTGTTCCTCTCTTATCATGGTCATGTATTTTGTTTTTTGGTTGTTAACTTCCAGCCCTGCTTGTAAAGATGCGTCTTCTAATTCAATAAAGGATTTTGATATGTCTTTTATACTTTTCCCTAGAAGTGCTATGTCATCAGCATATGCAAGATACTGGAGTGGTTGGTTGTAGAGTGTGCCCGTTGGTTGTGGGTCTTGAGTTTCCCTCAGAAAGTATCCTGTTATCATTCCTCGAGTGTCAATGTGTATGTTTCGAATAACTTTCTCCAATGTTAGGTTAAAGAGCATACAAGACAGTGAGTCTCCCTGTCTTAGGCCTCGTCTATTTTGAGTTGTTTAGTGTTACATGTATTAGCCTTGTCAGTTTGTTGGGTATCCCAAACTCCTGCAGAGTCTCATATAAATAGTTTCTTTTGATGGTGTCATAGGCCATTTTATAGTCGACATAGAGTTGATGTACTGGTATTCTGGTATATTAAATTCGTAGTTAAGCTTAGGCTTAATATTAATACTAATGAACAAATACTATTCTATTACAACAAATGCAATTAAAACCTAAATTTAAATGGTATTTTTAAATTAAATAGGGAATTTAATCATAAAATTTAAAATATTGTTAAGTACTGGTAATGACATGACATAGAATTAGAAAAAAATGGTTAATAAAATAAAAATGAAACCAGTCTTAATAAACACATAATGTGAATAATAATTTATATTAAAAAGAAATTGTGTATATTCAGGATTATGATTGAAATTATTAAGATGTTTTTCTAGGCTTTTTTCAGACACAAGAGAAAATTTTCTATTGCAGAACTCGGTGGAATTCCTTCCATCAACGAACAAGGAGGCACGTTTGAATGTAGATTAAAAAAATGGTTTTGAGTAATTTTTATTTATAATTACATTATATGCAGAGAGAAAAAAAAACTACTTACCTTTTTATAAGTATAAGAATTTATTCAAAATTTAACACAAGCATATAACTAGTTCAAATCTAATAAACAAGTTTTTTTTTTTTCTTTGTTATTATCAGTATTGAATTTTCCAAATTTTTCTGTTCAAATTTTTTTTAACATACGGGGAACCTTAAATAAAATTTTTCAAAATAGAAAGTACTGATGTTATTGTTGTTTTGTTCATTGTATTGTATATTGCATTAAGAATGTCTCCTAAAAATTTGGTAGCATTATCTTTTAAAATGAACAAGTTGTTGGCAAAATAAAGCAGATGTTTGGAAAGTCGGTCACAAGTTTTCAGAGTTAAAAACAAAGATAAATAAGGGGGTATAAAAAAAATTCACCAAAAAAATCATAACTTCGTTTCTATAAAATCTAGAAAGATGAAAGTGGTCTTTTTGCACAGCTAATAGCTAGCCCTTTAAAATGATGTATCATTTATGGCAGTGTCACAAGTGACAATACTGAAAATTTCTGTCTAAGTACCTAGTGGAGCAACAATTATCATATTTGAATTTGATCATGTACTAGAACCGCCTAAGTAACTGCTCATTCGATGCACTTTACTCATGGGGTGATTGCAGTAAGCACTATCTTCCACAGCATAGAGGTTCCCCCAGGTCAAGAAATGGCCATACTCCCATAGTTCCTTTTTTGAAAAGTTTTTTAATTTTAGCTGTGTATTTATTTGATTCAAGTTTTTTTGTGGCTTTTTTCCCATGAAAGTGGGAGGAGGGAGTACTGAAACTTGCAGGATTCCTGCATCAAATCTTAATTTTAAAAAAACTTCCAGGACATTATGAAAAAACTTTTTTTTAAAAATATATTAATAAATTAATAGTAATAAATAGGCAACATCTTCTTAGAAAATCCTACAACTACAAGAAAAAAAGAGCCCGGCATGTGCCTACCCTTTTCAAAAACATAATGATATTTAGAAGAAATGTTATAAAACTAAACAAACTTTGAAGCGGATCAGCAATATAAATTACCTGATCAGCTACATCTTCAGCTTTATCAATTAATTCGTTTTGTTTAGGCATCTTCGGCTTGCGTATAGCAAGTTACACAGAAAAACCTCAGTCCACGTAGTAGCAGAAACTAGGACAAGACAACTACTTCCTCCCGGAAGTTGATGAAACAAGTTATAGATCATTTTCGTTCTTCAAATTTATTATTATTGTGATTTTTTTTATTTTACAGCTGATTTGTCCTTTGATGAGTTTAATATCATAATCATATTAAATAAATTAGGTCAAAACTCTCTGCCACTCGTCTCCCAAGAAAGCTATAAATACAAATAAATACGGGTCTTTCTAAAAATTTAAGTTGACTTGGGACCACAATGTATTACATGTTTTAATCTTTAACAACTTTTTCATTGATTACAGTTAAAGAATATATGACTAGAGTCAATTTTATATTTCATAATTATTTGAAGAATTGATTACGTCTAAATATTATTGTTTGTAAAGTTATTATTGCTTCTTTTTTGCCCTCTTCAAATTGATAAGCCAAATGTACTTCTTTTGTAATAAGGCAACTGATTAATATACGGTATTATGAAATTATGTAACCGCTAACATTGTCATTGTCTAGTGAAACATTCATCGCTGATAATAAATATCAACATTTTCCATGACCATCTAAGCAATAATTGTAATCGCCCCTTTCTGTAGCAGCCACTCGAATAAGCCCCCAATTGTGCATTTTATTATTATTATTTTAAATACAGGCTGATGGAATGCAGGTTTTCTTTCGGCTATATCTCCAGGGGAAAGCCAAGTGCCCGCCCCCACCCCATCCCCGAGCAAAAATATATCCAACAATGAATCAACTGGCACTGCACCCCCCCCCCTCCAAAAAAAAATCTGAAATGCCCCCCCTCCCCGGGGGGAAATTTCTGAAATAATCACTGATGTAAAGTAACAAACATAAGACCATAATAAAGGCTATTTTCAGGTTTTCTTTCGGCTATATCTCCAGGGGAAAGCCAAGTGCCCGCCCCCACCCCATCCCCGAGCAAAAATATATCCAACAATGAATCAACTGGCACTGCCCCCCCCCCCCCTCCAAAAAAAAATCTGAAATGCCCCCCCTCCCCGGGGGGAAATTTCTGAAATAATCACTGATGTAAAGTAACAAACATAAGACCATAATAAAGGCTATTTTCGGCGCTGTTCTAGCCATTTGATATTATGAGGCTATTAAAAGCCAAATTCAACAACTATTTTGAAGCAGTTTATTGATCTATGATATTAATTATTAGCCTGTAATACTAGAATTAAACAACCCTTAAAAATAAATTTGTTGGTATAAATCCTTTATAAAATGTAATATCAAGCAATAAGGGTGGGGCTGAAAATTTGACCAAACATGCATACAAGTGAATCACTTTATAATATAAGAATCTCAACTAGTACTCCACCCCCACCCCACTCCACCCCCAAGGCTCGCAACCGCACACACCATTTTTTTCGCATAATACTATTTTTAGCTCGAAAAACATTGGTGACAGCAATGTGTGAACTTCCCACCTTCTAACATTACTGGGGGTGGGGGGCGTACATTAATTACGTTAACAATTTTTAAACACTTTTTGACCCCCTCTCTCCCTGTCTACAACTGTCAAACTTTCAATGACCCCCCTCCCCGTAATTATGTCATTTTTATACCCCCCCCCCTCCAATTTTTTTTTTAAAAAATTGCATCTTTAGCTTATTAATCAACAAGTTAAAAAGTTTTTGCACTTAAATTTTATCATGCAGAATCAATGAATAGGTTGTTAAAAACTAAATATCATTGTTTGTGGAATTATAAATATGATTGTCGGTATAGCTGACACTTGTAGTATAGTTTCTAGCTGCTATCATCTTCCCAGTGAATAGCCAGGTGTTGCTCTATCGTAACAATAGGCATAGGAGCTGATTTATCATTGTCGTCTTGCGGAAATGATATACCAGACAAGTCAACATGATCCTCATCTCTACTATTCAGCACTTAAAATAAAAGCATTGTCAGTGTGAGCTATAGCTGCCATAAGCTCTCTCTGTCTCCTGGAAGCTACTTGCATTAGTCGAATCCTATTTTATTTGTTGTTGAGGAGCAGGTGGTAATTTCTTATGCATTCTCATGCGCAGTCAAGATAAATTATATTGATAGAGTAGGAATACAATATTTTGAGAATTAGGGGAAAGTAAAGTGAGTTACAATAGTAACATCGCTGCTTAAACTGATTTGAAAATTATATAAAATCTATTTTGCATCACAAGTCAAGTTGAAAAAACATGTTCAAAAGCACCGACAATGCACTCTTGCGCATTAGAAATTTCCACCTGCTCCTCAACAACAAAGGATTCAACCAATGCATGCAAGTAGCTGCAAGGAGATAGAGAGAGATTATGGGAATTATTGCTTCTATTTTAAGTGCTGGTTGATTAGATGAGGATGATGTTGACTTGTCTGGTATATCAGTTCCGTAAGATGAAAATTATAAATCAGCTAATATAAACTGCGTTCATCAGGGGCGTCATTTCAGGGTTTTGGGGGGGGGGGGGGAGGCAGCAAAACCAAAATTTGGTCGTCTTGTTAAGTTGTTTATTACTGGAGGCGCCACTGTACATATCAATTTATATAAAACCTGCAAATTCAGGGAGGGGGTGGGGAAATGCCCCCCTGCCCTACCCAAATGATGTCCCTGCTGCACATTGTTACGATAGAGCAACACCCGGTTACTCCATGGGACGATGATAGCAGCTAGAAAAAATAATATAATTGTCAGTTTTACTGACAATAATCATATTTATACCACAAACAATGATTTTTTAGTCTTAAACAACCTTTTAATAGATTCTGCTTTATAAAATTTAAGTGTAAAAACATTTTAACATGTTGATTAACAAGCTAAAGATTTAATAAATGTTTTTCCTACAATTTTTTTGTCATTAAAATAGATCAGTACAAAGTAAAATGTATTTATATTATAATTCAATTAAAAAATTTGTAGGAAAATGTTAGAAAATGTTGACATAATTAAATAGGGGGGGTCATCGAAAGTTTGACAGTTGTTGACAAGGGGGGGGAGGGGGTAAAAAATTACGTACAATTTGTTGACGTAATTAATGAACGACCCCCTTGTCCCACTCAGAAACAGGACTGTTGCAGTTTTTTTGTTAAATGTTTGTTTTGTGGATATAAAAAAAATAGTTTTTTTAAAAGCTTGAAGCATTCCGCATGCGCATCCAATCCAACTATATCTCTGTCTTTTGACTTCCGCTATCTCAGCAAACAGGCAGGCATGTTTTTTCCCCTAAAAAGTTTTTGCATTTTACGTTTCTTTACTCGAATTTAATCAATCCATATTGTTGAAAATATATTTTATTTATTTTCATAGACCGCCGGAAGATAAATAATCATGCAAAACGACGCTGGGGAATTCGTTGATCTTTTGATCCCTCGCAAATGGTAAGTGATGAACATTTTACCTATTTTCGAGGATCCGTCAAATAACTGAATGTTAAAAAGAACTTAGACCCTAAAGTTATATAATTACTCTAATTAATTAAATATTTTTTACTTTTGGCTCATAGATTATATTATTAAACAAGTTTTTGTGTGGCTTAAAACGTTAATCCCCAGTGATTGATTTTGATTAGCCTATAATTTATAATTAGGTACTTAGGCAAAATTTTCAAAATGAAATTTTAACCTTAAAAGTAAAGGCTAGTTGGTTAGATATGATAGGCCTGCAAAATGCACTTTTTTTTAGATCAAATTTATGGTTGGTATGTTAATTCTTAAAAAAGTTTTATGATTTTTCCTTGAATTTTATTGGGTTGACCATATAAATTTCAATTAATATAGATAATTATTAGCAATAAATATTAAAATATTAACAAGTAACAAAGTTTCTACATGTCTGGTGACTAGAGATATTCCTCCGGTCATTTAATTTACAACCAAGTAACATCTCCGCTGTAACAAATTTGTGCGAGATATTAGTCAGTCAACCTTGTCTCTTGACCACTAATAGTCTATTTACTCCAACAAATTCAAGATAGTCTGAACATTTACATGAAAAAGAAATATGTTAAGCCCATATAATGAACAAATGGTTAAAAAGTGACATCACAATGTTAAGTAAAGTGTGACATGACCGCCGGATGAATATCTCCCGCACTATTTGTCTAGTCGTTAGATGTTTAGACTTGGACACTGCTTATTATTAATATATAGGACAATATGATATGGAAGAAAGGGTCTAAAATAAAAAACTGGGCAGAGGGTTGAGATATGTGTTAAAGAAGAGCAATAAATGAATCCACAAAAGCCACATGTTGTTTTTCTTTTTCCCGAATTTGCAGAGTTGGTTGTCACATACAAATTTTCTATACTATTTGAAAGAAAAATATCACTGAAAAAACCCACCAAAAAACAAGAGCTACCAGTGCTTCAAGCTTAACCCTTAAATTACAGTAGGCACTCCAACTCAAATTTTCAAATACATCTGACATACATAAAGATTATATCATTGGAAAGGGCTGGCTCTAAGCTTTCCAGTGACACCAAGATAATCTTTCTATCACTTATAGGAGAAAAGTTATTAATTTTTTAGTGATTTATTTTTCCCCATTATTTGGCTTTGTATTTAATTTTTAAGACTGTGATCGCATTATTAATCTTTTTGTACTATTTTGCTTGTATCTTTTTTGCTATTAAAGTTAGAGCTCTCAAATTTGGAGGAAACATTAACAATACTATGTTTAACAAAACAAAACACATGATTTGTGAATTAACTTATTATATTTGATAAAATATGATTTTATTAGCACATGGTGTGGATAATGACAATTGTCGAAAAATTTAATTTTACAAAAAATGACATAATTACTAAACCAATAAAGCTATTGCTATAAAATTTTCAATACAAACAGATAATGTCCATATAAAAATAAGGCACATTTAAAATAAATAAAATACAGATCAGAAAAATTTGTGTAATTTTAGAAAAAATAATTCATGAAAAGCAACCGCGGCCGAGAAATTTTTACATTTAAATACATAACTTTTAAACTAATGAAGCTACTGCAATCACACTTTCAGTAAAAATAGTTTGTGACAATCCAAATGAATGTCAGACATGTGCGATGAAGCGCACCGCGTTATGTTGGATTCGCTCCATCTTGTCCACATCTTGCTTTAGGTGTGGGTCCCAGATGATTGCACCATATTCTAGTAGTGGATGGATGAGTGCAAGATAGGCATTTCGATTGCAGGAAGTTGGGCAGTGGCGCAGATTTATTCGAATGAAACCTAGTGTGGAGTTGGCTTTTTAAAAATTTTTTGTTAATATGGGGGTGACCATTATAGGTTACCGGGTATTTGAATTGAAAGAGAATTCCAAAGTATGGATTATTTGATACTTGTTTGAGTTGATGTTTTTTTTCTTGATATGCTCATTGTGTAGCATTTGGTTTCATTAAATTTCATGCCCCATTTGTCCGCCCAATTCATAAGGCACGGTCCACACACAGCAACAGATTGTATCCGTGTGCCCTGTCCACCTGAAAGTATACAAAATATTAATTGAATTTTACAATGAGTGAATTGAAAATTTAAATAAATTTAATCAAAACACAATTAAACAAAAGGAAATATATAGAATATAGGTCTATCAATACACCCTTATATCTAATAGTATTAGTCTAATACTAATAATAATAGCTAATAAATAAATTGTTTATAAGATGAGGATTTCTTGTTTGCAAATTGAATAATTTCTTATTGTATAAAGAATAATTGTACAAACAATTAATTTAAAACAAATTATTATTTTTTTGTTTACATTTATATTGTTTAGTAATATTATGATCAGAAACTGTTGTATAATCAATGTTTCATAGATTTAGAAATGTTTTATTTAAAGCGTTTATTTCCAAATAATTTCACCTCCCTCTGGTCAATAAAATTATGTAAAAAAAAGATGGCCGCCGTTTTTTCATAACATGCAAATTTTTTTCCCATGATCGATATCATAAATTCCAGACATAGCCAGTAATGTTAAAAATAAATGCTTTCAAAGTCAAAGGGATCAAGCTTGCTCTACATAAAGTTTTTACATATCTATATGCTATACAAAAACAAAGAACATAAGATTAAACTTACCCACAGTTTGCGCTCTGACTGTTGGCCTGAGCCAGGTCAGAATAACAAAGAATTTATACCATCGTGACCGGAATTCTTCAGCGAATAGAGTTTAAGGCTGAAACTTACTTATTTTTAGAAAATTACGCATTGGAACGACAAAGCCCGACATATACCGAAACCCGCCCTTCGCGGCTGGTCACAAAAATGTACCACACGAACCCCGCGGTTTTTTTTGCCCGCGTCGTCCGGTATTGGAGTGCCTAATTACAGGAATGCAAAATGTGCAATAACAATGACATTGCAAATAATTTGTTGTACTGTGGAACAGTGTTTGTTGTAGGAAAAAAAATTGCTGGGGAAAATCTGTGGTTCAATTAAATAATCAAGGCCTGAGGAGACTTTGAAATTACAATTGCTAGCATACATTACTTGATGATGGTAAATTGAGAAACTTTGACCTAGCCTTGTTTTAAATGTTTTTCAGTTCAGCAAGTAATCGTATCATTGGTGCCAAAGACCATGCTTCCATACAGATCAACATTGCAGAGGTAAATTCAGATGAAATGAGTTAATAAATTAAAATTTAATTTAAAAAGATGAATTTTGAAACTTTTTTAAGCAGGCATATTATTTTATGTTTTCTAATGGACTATTTATTGCCTATTGCTGTAATCTCACCTCTCCGCTGTTAAATTTTTATTAATATTGCAGTAGGAAAATAGTTGTTACTTAATACTAGACATGCTCATTCCAGAATGTGGATCAAACATCAAAAACACTTTAATATAGCCAGAGTATTTAGCCCACTGACTACCTATCTCCTAAGAAAATGGTGTTAAGCACCTCTAGTTTGGAAATATTTAACATTATTTTGTTTAAAACATATTTCCATTGCATACCTTAAGAAATCATTTGAAGACTCACTTTTTTCATGCATAATCGTTAATTTTCATCTCATGAATTTCACTGCATTAAAATCCACTTCATTCCAAGTTTACATTGTCACACCTAGTGAAACAATCTAATTTTTTTCTTCTCCCCAACCCGTTACCCTATGCACATTGTTTTTGTTGGTATGAATAGTATTATATTGAATTTGGAACAGGTTGATGAGACAACTGGCAGAATGACTGGTGGTTACAAAACATATGCCATCTGTGGTGCCATCAGACGTATGGTAAGCTTACATTTTCTCCATGCATTCATTTAAATTAGAGATGTGACTTTTCTATTTTCCATGATTACAGTAAAATTCAGTAGGTTTTAGTTATTGCTCTGTTATTTGCAATGAATGCTTAGTCCAATGTGTAGCTTTTTGTTTGATAGTCTCATTTCTAAGAGTTTCGTGTTCTAAGCTTAATAATGAGCAGATTATTCCATAAAGAATTGTCACTAGAATAATAGCCGATTATGATTAGTAATAAAGTTTTAGGTGCCCTGCAGAGGCATAATATATCACAAAATTTAAATTGAGTGTATGGACAAGGGAGAGTGCTGGGTGAATTTGTAAAAAATGGATTACATTATTTAAACTGTTTGACTAAATACTTGACCTGATTAAATTTTTTGTTTTTGCCTAGTCCAATTTTTTTCATTTTTTTACTTTTCAAGTTATAACTCTGTGTAAATAGACAAGTAGAACATCATTATGCTCTGTCTATACCATTTCTGTAATCATTTTACATTTCTTAAATTTTAGGGTGAATCAGATGATTCACTGATCAGACTAGCCAAGCGTGATGGAATAATTGCAAAGTAAGACAAATCACATTTACTAATTTTTTTAGAAAGTGATTATTATTACTATTTAGTACTGTAACAGCTTCCAGAAAGGTACTGTACTTAAAATAATATTCACTTTTTATTATTTGAAAAATTATTCATTATCCCTTTTTCTTTTTATCTACAGGAACTTTTAAAAGAAAAGATTTGGCCCTTAAAAACTACAAATAAATTTAAAAGTAAAAAAAAAGAAAATATTTGTTTCATTTGTCTGAAAAATGTATGTTTATTTGTCTGAAAAATGTATGTTTATTTGTCTGAAAAATGTATGTTTATTTGTCTGAAAAATGTGTTTTACTAATTGATGCAGTTAAATCTTAAATTTGATTGTCATGTAAACCTAGGTTATGTAAATTTTTAACCAAAAGAGTTAAGAGACTGTTACTAACTTTTATGTGCATTCACATATGCCTAGGTCTCATTACATTAAATTTCTAAACTAAAATATTAACATTTGGTAATGAAATGGTTCCTTGACCTATGTCAGGAACTATAAATGATTCAGAAATGGATGACAAGCCTAGTTTATACCTTCATCTATTTTAAGTTGTAAAGTTAGAGCGAGACCTTAAAATACCCAGGAACGATAATAAATTATTGCAGAGTGGAGAATAGTTTTAAACAGTTTTATACCGTACTGATATACAGAATATTATTATTTTTAACTTTGGATAAACTCTCAAACTTAAATATCAGTGGTGCTACAGCCCATGTAGGGCCCTGGTCTGCTCCTCCACATCCTTCCATTTGGGACGATCCATGGTTTTCTGCCTCCATGCGTGCACCATCTGGTGTAAATCCTTATCTACATCTTTGATTCATCTCAGCCTTGGGCGACTGGTGAGTCGTCATGGTTTGTACTGATTCTCCAGGTATCATTTTTCCATCAGCCGTATATTTTTCCGAGGATTTTCCTCTCCCATGTATTGAGAAGATTCTCTGCTTTTCTGGTAAGGGTCCAAGTCTCACTAGTGTCAGTTGCTACTGGTCTTAAGATAGTTGATAGTGGTGTCTTCTTTGTTCCCCTCAAGAGGTTTTTGCTTCCCTGTAGCTTTTACAGGCTGAAATAGGAATGGTCGCCTGCTGTTCACTTTCTTTCACCTCCGACATTATTTCATTGTGCTCGTTTATAGTTGCCCTATGATATTTGAACGTAGCCACTCTCAAATTTGTGGTTGTTTATATTATATGTCATCAGGGTGGGAGTTTCAGGACATTATCATGATAAAATGTTGTTCATTTACATCAAGTATCAAGACCAGCTTTGACTGAGGCATTTTCAAATTCCCTGAATGTTTTAATTATCTCATCACTGTTTCTACACAGGAGCGCTTTATCGTCTGCATATGCAAGGTACTGCAATGGCTGGCTATATAACGTTCCTGATGGTTGTTGTTTAGTAATACCTCTCTGGAAGTTGCTTGTTATGGTTCCACTGGTGCTCACGTGTATGCTTCTAACAACTTTTTCTTGCGTGATGTTCATGTATTATACATGCTAGGGAGTCTCCTTGTCTGAGGCCCCAATAAACTGGGAACTCCCTTGAGTATTCTCCCTGCACCTTGATTCTACTTTTGGAGTTAGCCATCGTCATATGTATGAGCAGAGTACCGGTAAGCTTGTTAGGGATTCCAAGTTCTTTTAGAGCGTTGTATAAGTAATTCCTGTCTACGCTATTGTATGCTGTTTTGTAATCAGCGTATAGTTGGTGTATGTCGATGTTATATTTGCAACATTTCTCCAGGAAACATCTTACAAGTACTCGTAATACCGGTGGTAAAAAAATATCCGTGGTTGACCTATTTTGCCGGAATCCGCATTGGTAGTCCCCTAGGATCTGATCACTATCCTTTCCCAGTTTTCTTGCTTTAAGTTTTGTGAGGATGTTTTATATTACATTAAGTTTAAGGAGGGAGATTCCTCTGTAGTTTGAGCAGACCAACTTAGTTCCTTTCTTGTGAATTGGGATTATAAGTGCAGTGTCCCATTCTATTGGCATTTCTTCCTCCTGCCAGATTCTGGATGACATTGTGGATTTGCCAATGCATTTATTAGTTACCACCTAGCTTTATCAGTTCTGCAGAGTTGTCTATTCCTGAGGCTTTGTTATTTTTCTTGGTGAAGATCACATCTTTAATTTCATTTAATGTTGGTTGGTTGACCATTGGGTCCTGTCTATGTGGTAGAGCATAATCCTCATCGGTTCCTCCACCTGAGACATTCAGTAGTCAGTAAGCCTTCAAAGTGTGGTGTCCATCTCTCTAGTACTCTATTGCTCTCTGTGATCAATTCTCCACCTGTCTTAAACCTCATACCATTATGCTAAATGGAACAGCAATATTAATACTATTACTAATGAAAATAACAAAATCATCGTAAGAAAGCATCTTAGCATTTACAACAGAACCTGTCATTTTATTTTAAGTTTAGATTTTTTGTTTATTCATATGAATCATATTTGTAGATAGGTGAGACAATTACACATAATTAGGTGTTGGTGGCTCTCCATAATCAGTGCAATGTACAAAGGTGCCACATGTTCAGGGATGACAATAGCACTAGCCAGTCACAGAAATTCAGTACCGGTATTCTATATAAGATTTTGTACCGGTGAATGTGCCAAATTATCGGTCCCATTGGCCTGTAAGGGGATAACTAAAGTACACATCACATGGCACTCTCTAGATTTTATGTGCCATATCAATATCAGGTCCATCGTGGGAATGGCTTAAATTTTAGGACTGCATGTCAAGAGGGAGTTGTACATTTTCAAAGTAATAATTATAATAATGGTATGTATGTCCATTGCAAGATGACATTAAATATTAAAAAACAAAATAACTTGCTCAATATAGTCAGTATTTTTATTATGGTTCTCTGCGCCCTTTATTGTTTTTATGTTTCATTATTTAAAAAAACAAAAAAAAACAGTCATTCATTCACAAGGAAGGATTTGACAGTCACTTTCACTGGATTATTGTTCTACCTTTGCTTCTCACTCACTTCTCTACTACATTCTCTCTTCTGTTGTGCATCTGTTTGGTATAAATCCACTTTAGCTGGAGACCCCATGTAATTTGTAAGTAATCCCACTGCATGTGAAGAAATCAAGATTTAAGGCAACGAACTGGGCTTCTTTTGTACCCTAATCTTTTCAAAGCGTTTGATGAATAGACATTTTTGTATGTGACTAATTGTAAGTTAAAATGATATAATGCCACCTCTCCTCTGTACAAACATGTTTGTTAGTTTTTTCCCCAAAAACTAATTAGTGTTTTCTCTTTTAAAACAAGTCTTACTTACATGGCAGACTTATTTTTAAGCTGCTTACTTCCTTGCTTAAGTTGATCCATCTAAAAAAATTTAGCAAAATGCTCTTTTTAAATTTAATACCGGTATAGATAACTCTTAGATCTTAAGTACAGGTATTTATTTTTTATAGTATAGTTTAAGTACCGGCACTCAAACTGGTCTAAAAATGAGTTTTTGTCTCCTATATATATATTAGTAACTTTTCACTTACGGTAATGTTTTCTATAACAATATACTGGTACCATATAGACTTACTAATGAAAGTGGTACTCTGTACCTCCCCACTTAATTGCCATGCCTTAATAGGGCCATTCATAGTACGGTAATTTTATTTTTATGAGAGCAGATTTCAGTTCAGTGTTGTTGCTTTCATGGACACTACATATACATTTCAAGTTGAAATAAATAATTGAAAAGCAAGTTACTTAATCAAATTATAAATAAAAATTATTAAAATAAATATAAATCAATAAAGAACATAACTTCACCATTATCCATTAGAAATAGAATACAACACTCAATATTTTTATTTTGTCAAAATGTTCCATTTGAACATAAAGAAAAGAATATCTGAGAAAACCGGAAAATCTCTCCGACACATGCAAGCATCCGATACCATCCTTCCCACCTACATTACTAATTACAGGTGAACTTGTGAAAGCTCTACTACTAATTCTACTAGTGCTGTTTAGACTTATGAAAATATTCATTGCTGTTTGGAAATCTCTCAGAGTTGAAATCAGAGTCTGATGAGATGCGTGCTGCAAGCACTGCGGTTACTTCCCTCTCTAGCTCCACCTGCAATTCATGATTATCTGCTGCTTCCTGTTTGAGATTTTCTTCACTGCTGATAGGTTCCACCCCCACAGCCCTTGCGGCACGAGCAATTGAGTCAGGAAAGTACACGGGCATGTTTGCCATCTCTCCTGCATGCTCTAATGTCATCATCTATTATCAAGACAAAAGTATAAAAAATCAGTTACCAGAAATTTGTTTGAAAGAAAAAAATTCTCACAAAAATGTTTGTTGAAGTTTTCGTATTTCTATTACATTTTATATTGTCACCCTGCTGTCTTCTTCACATAAATGGATGCCATCAACTATTTTGGGTTATTTTATGTGGATTTAATTTTAAAGGTCACTTCAGACAAGGAGGCCATTTTGAGTACTTGCCATTTATCCTATAAGGTATACCCACTAATGACCTAAAAAATAAAACTTTTGTTGTTAGAAATCAGTGTTGCCCCGTGTCACAAATTTAAACAAGACAATCCGATCTATAAATTAAAACATCAAAATTATGGATTTTGAAATACATTTTGGTGTTTGTATTTCTATTTTTTCTGAACTCCCCCATTATTGATAAATAACTTGGCTACTGTACAATGTTTTGTATTTTTACAAATTCCAACAAAATTCAGTATCGGTACAAGCAAATATCCCAGTTTCTTACTTGCACCCCTTAGCCTTAACATTTAGAAAAATATAAAAATTTTAACAAATTTCCGTTCAAACTAACTTCCGTTCAACCAAACTTACATTGATCAATTTTTCTTCAACTGAATTTCCATCAAACAAATTTTTGGAGAAGTCAAAAATCAGTTCCATGTCAAATATTTAGTCCGGGTCCGATATAAATTTTAACTTAAAACCCCCCCCCCCAAAAGCAATAACAGTAATAGTAAGTTTGAGGGGGATCCTTTCAAAAATTCATAATCTTAATGATAAACACTGTTAAATTTTTGGAGAAGTCAAAAATCAGTTCCATGTCAAATATTTAGTCCGGGTCCGATATAAATTTTAACTTAAAACCCCCCCCCCCCCAAAAGCAATAACAGTAATAGTAAGTTTGAGGGGGATCCTTTCAACAATTCATAATCTTAATGATAAACACTGTTATAAGTTACATGTAACTTTAACTCATTCCCTACGGCAGTGTTACTTCCGCACTTAATTTATTTTCCTGAGAAAAGGGAAGCAACTCAGTTTTGAAATTGATTTACATTTTAAAAATATTTGTTTAAGCTGCTAAATAATAATAAATGTTAATGAATTAAGGACAAAGCATCAAACAATGTTTAATAAAAATATAACGTTAGCGGCAAAAAAATAATGAACAATGGCCAAAAAATTGATTTTTGGCACCTCGAACACATGCTACATATACACACGCCGTAGTTTTAAAGTGAAACAAGATAAAAACTTCTGGTTTTTAAAATAGAATCACACAGAAATCACGCCATAGCTGGAAGTCTCGAGGGACGCAAGATTTCATTGCTATTTTAAACTAAAAATAAAAGAGGTATGTTGCAACACGCATTTGGACGCATCCGGCGAAACCCCCAAAGGATGCATTTAGTCGCAACAGTCGGGAATGAGTTAATATCAAGAAGTTTATTAATTCTGGCAGGATCTATAATTTTTATGTGGTTTACTTGGACTTATTTCCATTTTTAAAAAGTTGTTGATGTCTTAAAGTTTACAATGTTAACTTACTCGTCTACGTTTAGCAGGGAGACCTTGAAGATATGCATCACTCAGTGGGGGTTGTGTCCTTTGTTCCTGTTGTCTAACAATGTCCTGATTAATGACAGGAATCCAGTCCTGTGGAGAAACATTTGTTATTGCCAACTTATTTATAAAGACTGGCTAAGAGCTAAGAAAATTTTCCTGCATTCATCCTTGTATGAATTGTAATACCAACAATAAAACCTACCTGTAGTAAACCAACAAAAAACCCACCTGTGGTATTACTGTATGCCAGTCATCAGAATTTCTACCATTGCTTAAGGTCCTTGGACTGACTCCTGTTCTACTACCAGAAGTCATGGTGTTGGGGCGGGCTCGAGGGGTGGGCTGATTGACCAATGATTCTTGGGCATCAAGATAGATTTCGTTAGTTTCAAGTTCATCTTCTGGAATGGTTCGTGCCACCTGCATGTAATAATTGATAAATTAAATGCAATACTAATAAAGAAAATATTTTAAATTTTATACAAAGAATAGATTCTTTTTGTGCATTTCTGACTTGAGTGAAGAGAAAAACATTTATTTAAATTAAAGGAAATATTTTTATGGTTAATTTAAAATGTGTGGTAATCAATGAAAGTGGCTACCAAATAATATTTAAAAAAATTTAAAATTTAAAAAAAAAAAAAATGTCTTGAATATGATAATTACAGACATCTAAAAATAGTTCAAATATTTTTTTGTTCTATATTCCTATTTGGCTGAAATTTTCAAAACTTATTGGTGTAATAAGGTAAAATTGACTTAAAGTCCAGGGCCGTGGTTCATGACCCTTGTAATAAGCACATAAGTACAGGTAATGTACATCAGGTTAACAATATCTTACAAGTCAAATACATGTCATATGTCTGAACTAGATGTTATCTGTTTGATACAAATCAACACAAAAACCCTATAAGCTTGAGCACAGATTAAAGAAACCGACCTTAGCCCTTGGAGGCTGAGGTGAAGGTGAGTCCCCTACCTCCATAGGGCTGGCTGATGACCTCTGAGAACCCTCAGCACCTCTTGTTACTCTGTTAGACAGGCTGTTAGACTTAGGACTAGTTTTGGAGACTGGTGTTGAAGTTGTATCTCTTTTTACATGGCCATGTGCTCCACTACTGTAAAAGTAGGAAAAATGCAAGTGTACCTCTAGGTGATAAAGTAAGAAACAAAACAAAATAATAAGCACGATAAATACTGGATTTTAGAGCAAAACAGCAAGGTTTTATCCAG